ATGGAACCATACTGACCACATGTGGGTCAAAAAGTAGCATTGGAAATTTTAGTTCCACAGGACAGGCCTCTGCCATTTGAGCTATCAGAGTAACTGATCACAGTAGTAGTTATCCTTCAGGTGAACCAGACAGTAGAGGGGGAAGAGAGAGAATTCACCAGTGGGTTTCTCAGCTGTTTGCTTACAGCGGGGGTCGGCAACCTTTCAGAAGTGGTGTGCCGAGTCTTCATTTATTCACTCTGATTTAAGGTTTCGCGTGCCAGTAATACATTTTAACGTTTTTAGAAGGTCTCTTTCTATAAGTCTATATAACTAAACTATTGTTGTATGTAAAGTAAATAAGGTTTTAAAAATGTTTAAGAAGCTTCATTTAAAATTAAATTAAAATGCAGAGCCCCCCTGGACCGGGGGCCAGGACGCGGGCACTGTGAGTGCCACTGAAAATCAGCTCACATGCCGCCTTTGGCACGTGTGCCATAGGTTGCCTACCCTTGGCTTACAGCAAAGGAATGTTGAGACTGAGGAATCCCGGATTCAATTCCAGGCTCTGGAGGGGAGTATGGTTTAGTGGTTATAGATCCATCTGCCATTATCCACCCCAGTTCCTGCCCCCCTCCTTCTCCTCGCTACAGCTCCTGGTCCCACCTCTGGCTCCCTTCTGCTCCTCACGTCTTTGCATTCAAGGCTGATTGGATTTCCCCCTCTTCCATGATGCCTGGGCACCAGCAGAGTGGGCACTGAGAACACAGACGAGACAGTCTCCTTGTTGTCAGTTCCAGTGCCCTGGTGTAAGTGACCCTTGGCAGATATGAAGAGGAATTATTGGAAAAGTCCTGTTCAGCCGTTGCAGCCCTGGCATGGTGCATGCACAGCCATTCTGTTGGGATGGCATATGTATAGTCCCATTGAGAAATAGCTGCGTGAGGAAGGAGCATGGTCAGTGCAGCTGGAATTTTCTGAGACTTGAGCTGCCAACCACTAACAAACCTCTACTGATGATGTTTGAATTGTAGTTTTTCATAAATTTATAGCTTAGCCAAATTTGGGCAGATTTTTATGGGGACAGCAATAAGCACATCCTTGATCCCATGGCAATCCTCACCTACCCCATATTTCAAGTCCCTGTTTTAAAGCACAGATGCTCTAGAGCCTCTCAATTAAATGGTGGCAAGATTTTAACATGGACAAAACAATGTATTTTTTCCCTAATCTTGACCTTGGAAAAGGCTGAACTGTTTTAGATTAAATGTTACAAAAATATATGCCTGAGGCAAACACCCAGCATAGAGATTTGGGCATAGTTAAAGGTAACTAAAAATAGCATTTCAAAATGGAAAGTGTTGACAATCTTAACTGTAGGCACCCGAGCTCTGCCTATAATATCTAGCTATATGGGGAATCCTTGAAAGTGTAATGTGGTCTAGAGTTTCATCTGTCTGAATTTGACATGGCATTCTTTACATATAGATGGCAAAGCCATAATTGAGTTGCTGGTATGAATATCATCCCAAATAAGTGTCAATAAAATATTTAAACCACACCCTATCATCACACATTCTGTATATGCTACATGTCATAGAAACCCCCTTTTTAAGGGATTTAGAATAGACTCCAGGGAGATGGATTGGTAATGTTCAAAAGTGCATGATAAAAGTATTTATTACATGGCTCTGCAATTTTTCATACAGATGTCACCTCTCCCTCTGTATGTGTGTGTGAGATCTCTCTCTCTCTCTCTCTCACACACACACACACACACACACACACACACACACACAAACTGCTTTCTATTAAAATACAGCCTTCACTGGAATGGAACACAACAGCTGTTTAACCGAACCCAAACAGAGCAACACATTTAAGAGTTTATGGCAGAGAGAATATTTCATTTATTGGAATTCCAGGGGGAATTATCATATGTGCTTTCATACCATATCTAATTTAAAAGTTGTGATTGAGCCATTAAGTAAGGATTGACTAATCAACCAGAACATTTAGTACCATGCCAGCTGATCATTCAAGCAATATTTGGCTTATCAGTAATTTTTTTTCTCACTTTCTCTTCCGTGGAGAGTACCACAGCACATGAAATCAGGAGGGCTGTGTTTGTGAAAATGAGGGAAGAATTTGTCCCATTATGTTTTAAAATATTGTTTATAAATTCATATGAGGTCATTGTACTAACTTTTCTGTGTTTTAGAACACAGAATAGGAATTATATACAGGCTTCCAAATATGAATAACTTCAGGGGGCTATATATATATTTCTTCTTTTAATTGTAATTTTCAATGTCGCACAGCATGGTACGGTATATCATATTGTTACTAAAAACCATTGGTTGAATTGCCCTATCATGATGATATAATGCAAATTGGATTAAACAGAAGTCATCTAAAATTAATAAATGAAACATTTAATTTAATCACGCCTTGAGTATAATTTGGGGAATCACCACCTTGCTACTAAAACATTGTCTTTTGCAAACCAGCATAAATCCAAGTACAGCACACTTCCCTGTTATTCATGAGATGGATGTGAACACAACCATGAGTAAAAGCACAGTATTTTTATCACTGTCTGTCAAAACACTGCTGTTTATGTAAATATATGCCCCATACACGGTATTCAGGATTCTTGAACATGTGAAGCAATTGTTCTATGTCTCATCTATTGAGAGGATAAAAAGACAGTAGGGACTAGTGTTTAAAACAGAGGACTGGGTGCCTCAGCTCTTAGGTTGTACAGCTAGCTCTGCCACTGGTACAAAGGTATAATACAGGGAAGACAATCACCTTTCCTCAGTTTACCCATCTTTAATACTAATATAATACTTACACGGGTGCTGTGAGGCGACATTAGTTTGCAAAGTGCGTTGAGATCCTCAGAGGGGAGGCACTATATTATAATCATCATCATCATACTGTGCATTCATATAATACCTTCCATCTGAGGTTCATAAATGAGTGAAGTCTCACAACATCCTGAGATGATGATTATTATCTCAATTTTACAACTGGGGAAACAGACGAAGATTAATGCCAACATTTTCAAATTTGGGTGCCTAAAGACAGCACCTAAATCCATATTTAGGAAGCTAAATAAAAAGGTTCAGAGTTGCTGAGTCAACTTAAGTGCCTGGGCCAGTGTCACACAGGAACCAGAACCCATATCTCCTGACTCCCAGTCCATTGTTTTTAACACAATCTTCTTTCCTATCTGTGCAAAGCAGTATCATTATTGTAAAGCTAGTCTGGAGAAATGGTCTGATTTCCAGATCTGAAGAACATTTAACACATACCATCTCTATCCAAAATTCCCATACGACATTATTTTTTTCATTGCAGAATCTTCAAACTATCCATTATTGTATAATAAGGAAGTCCCAGGATCTCTGGGTTATCATCACGCTATTCTTTCTTTAAAGTTACAATGTTGATTTATGCTTTCTGAAATTAAGATAATTATATTTCAGATTCACTTTCTTTAAAGCAAGAACAAGGAAGACAAGATATTTTATATAGTTGACGAGGCCCGATAATTCTTCATAAGACTTCCAGGACTTTTAGAGTAAAATCTGTTGCAATCCCAGGGCACAATAGAGAAGAAACAGGCAAATGATGTTTTTTAAAAATAATAATTGTTAGTTCCTGCAGATCAATTTTAATCTGCAGATCTCCTTTACAAAGGAAGAGATGCGTCATGACACCCAGTTCACAGAAGTGGGGTGAATTGACTGAAGTCACACAGCAGGTTAATGCAGAGCTAGGCATGGAACCCACATGTGACTCCTATCCACCCACACTTCCTCACACTGGCCTTTCTAGTAGCTGTAATTTCACAATGTACTTATGCATTTTAAGATTTTATTGTCTCATGAAACTTCACGAGGGCTAATAAAATCATTCTTATCTTCTAATTACACCTATACCCCGATATAATGCTGTCCTCGGGAGCCAAAAAATCTTACCGCGTTACAGGTGAAACCGCGTTATATCAAACTTGCTTTGATCCGCTGGAGTGCGCAACCCCGCCCCCCCGGAGCACTGCTTTACCGCGTTATATCCGAATTTGTGTTATATCGGGGTAGAGGTGTATATGACAAGACTGTACATAATGAAATGGCTTGTCACCTGCATTTAGCTCTTGACAAGTCGAAGACAAGCCTGCTCTGTGTGGCAAATGAGACCCATGTACTAGTAGTTTTGCTTTTCCTTCAGATCTGCCAAAAAGAGCTCTGATGTTTTGAAATATGCCAGGCAGCACTCACTAAACCCTCCAACCTCAAGAGAAAGCATTCTCAATTAGAAATACATTATGATTGTCACAGCTAAGCAATTTCTTAGAGACTAAAGGGATTTTTAGTGATTTCATGGTATAAAAAAAGCAGTCAATGTAACACACAAAAAATTAAAATTCCAACTGAGATGTCATGCAGTAAGTGAAAAGATTTAGCTGTCCAGTCATACAACTAAGAATAACCTTGCAAAGGATGCAGTGAAACTAAGATATGTGCTTCTCAATAGCAAGGAGCAGGTTTGTCACAAAGTGTTTTTCCAGGCCCATGTACCCAGTTATAAGAACATTTGTAAGTAGCACAATGAAAAACAGCAGCACTCAAGATTAAATTGGGTTCTGAGAGTTTTCTTCCTGCGGCAGCCAGTCAGAAATCCTGCTAATGGGCAACTTACACAGAACAGATTATGTCATTTTGATAATGCTTCCTTTTGGCTTTACACGCGCCAGTGTTTCTGGCAAATAGCAGAAAACCCGAATGCATTTCCAGCCTGTCTCTACAACCTCTGATAAGATCAGCATCACAAGACAGAGGGGAAAATAAAAAGATACGAGACCATGATACAGTGTTTAATCAATTATTACATCAGTACTGAGTCTTGTGTAACTACAGTCTGCTCTGTTCATGAATTTACATGCGTATTGCCAGTGATTTGTTTCATTCACACAGCTATATAGATGGGTAATCACATCAGCAGACACAAACATTAGTAAGCAAAAGGGCATTTATTTTTAAACACTATTACATTTGCCAACTATTATTTAAAAAGGAAGACCATATTATATTAGTTCAAAACTATCCTGTTAAGCATATATATTTAAACTCTAATTTTACAAACACATAATGAAATAATTTTTATTTTACAAATAGCTATTTTAATAAGTATTATGAAAAACATGTTTTAAAAATAATTGCCAAAATCTCCCTCTTTAAATATACAACCCCCCCCCCCCTTGCTATTCTGAAGATTTCTTCCTTGGAAGCCAAAAAATATCTAAGTCACACTGAGTCCTCATCAAACCCTACTGAGAGCAGTAGTGATATAAAAAGGTAAAAGCACTGTACAAAGTACGCAAGTACAGCATTTATAGGTTTTAATACTGTACACGCTTGCATTTGTTTTTAAAATGTTTTATAAAAACTCCTATTTTAAAACAAAAAATTGAATGTTCTTCCCTGGCTGTGGAAAATATACAAGCCATTGTAATCCTATCCTGTTATTAAAACTTTACGGTTTTCCAGAGTGATGGGGCAGATATTGTGGTGAGAATTTTTATCATCTTTACTGGATGCCATATATTAAGATTTTCCTAGCAGTTGATGCTTCTCTCATAAAAGTCGATGGAAGTTTTACCACTGACTTAAATGGAAGCAGGACTGTATTCCAAGTTTTCTTTGGCATGTCATTTTGCAGTGCCTCTTAATCTCAGTTTCCTCCAATCCATGATGCAAAATTAATACACAGCCTTTAATACATTAACAAGAAAAACCAAATCTGGAGAAATTTGAAATTAACATGGATAATTGTAGGGGACTGTTTTAAATGTTTACTGGTAAATTCACTGACAAACTCAGAGTATTTATTTTAGCCAAAAGTGATTTAATGTAATGAAGGGATACAATCTTCAAACCAAGCACTGGTGTATTCTGTATGTTTTCCACCAAAATTTAATCTGTTTACTTCCCTGTAGTGTGTGTGGGTTTATTCCTTTGTTGCTTCTTTTATAGTCCCTTCTGGCATTTCTTCTGGAATGAGCTTTTCAAAAAGGTGCGGTACCCAGGGTCATCCACGTATTCATTCTTAAACCGGGAACTCAGGACTCTCTGTCTCTTCTTCTCTCCCTGGATAATATCTGCTCCATAAAATGTGTCTTCAAATCTCATGTCGGAGGCTGTCGACTAAAAACAGACATTAATTACCTCTTCAGTTTCACAGAGGAAATCACAATCTGACTCCCTCCAGGGCAGGCACATGAAAGCACAGGCACCTTTGGTTTAGACAAACTGAAGACTATTTCAGGGACTAACCCAGAGAATTACACCGTTATGAAGTCATCAGTGCTTCAGAACATAGAGTTTTATGATAATGTTTCTAGGAAAATCCATTCATGTTAGATAAATGTTGAACGTATTTTTTTAAACTCACTTTGCAGTGTTTAGTTCCACGTATTTGTGGGGTTTCTTAAAATTCATTTGACTGACTCTAGCTGTTGGATTTCATTGTGTCAAAAGATCACAGAATCACAGAAATGAGAGATGGGAAAGATCATATTGGATTCAGTTCATCCATCTGCCAGTACAGGTTTCTTCCCAACAGTAATGTATATTATCCAGCATTTTATCCAGTCTAGTTTTAAATGTAAGGGACTGTATGATGCAGACTATTAAAAAGGTGCCCTGTACAATTGCATGGCTTGTGTGGACAGGGAGTCATGAGTTCAGCTGGTGCTGGAAAATGTAAAAAAAAACGAGGGCAAAAACTGAAACGGCAAATGTCTAGCTATTGAAAAAATAATGACAGTGACAAATGACAGGAATTTTAGGGCCCACTGCTGAAGCCAGTAGCAAAACTCCCATGAACGTCAATGGCATGGGATCAAACCCTTTAAGATGAAGAGATCATCATATATCCCTAGCGGTTTAAAAGAAAGGGTGGAACCAACATTATAAACCATGGGACTAGTCCTGCAAGGAGCTGAGTAACCTCTGACTTGAGGGTACTCCGATGAGTTCCAACTGAGTTCCACTGACTTGTACATCGAAGATGCACTCAGCACCTTGAGTACTGGGCTGTACGTTTGTGAAGCCCAAGTTAACAACAGGGAAACAGCATCAGGCTTCTCATCAATAGCAACCATTTTGTTTCTGGAGTTTGTTTTATTTAATAGTCTAAATTTCATGTTTTAAAATAATACTTAATTCCACTAAAAAGTTAATGGTGTCACATGCAAAAGTAAAATATTGATCTATAAAAATGCCACTATTTTAAAAGAATAGCAAAAACCAGCCACATCTATATTGTTGTTCTTAGTCAAGTGCAACAATAAAACAGATTTACAGTATGTCTAGTTAATTCTAAACTCCTGTTACATATACTCTATAAAACAACAAGAGGTAATGGGGCCTTTTCTGAATATAATGAAAAACAACCAATTGTACTCACCCAGGTGGCTTGTTTGTTATTTTTTTTTCAAGAACCATCTATCTTAAGCCTTAGCACACTGAAGGACGAGTGTACTCCTCTGAAGTAAACTGCCCCTGAGATGCGACAGTCTAGAATATTTGACTTCTGAACGTTCCTGACAGAAGGAGCTCTGCTCCTCTCCATTCTTATTGCCTTCTTACTCCCCTCTTACTCTCCTGAGTGAGATAAGTCACCTTCCTGGAAAAGCACTTCATAGCAAAGAGACAACCTCATCCTTCTCTGCCTCTCCCCAGCTGCCACTCCCAGCTCCCCTCTCAGACATGGTGCCAGCTCCATGTCACTTCTTACCCCTACCGCACCTTCCAATATGTGCCATGCACATGCTTCAGGCTGCAGCTGAGAACTCGCAACATGGAGAAGCAGCTCACGTCAGGTGGGCATGCTGAGAAAGTAGTGGAGGCGAATATAAGGTCAGGATTTGCTTCTCCAAAGAATCCTGACCTGCCTCCATTTTCCAGCTGCAACAAACCCTCCCTCAGCCACATCCCAGAGCCCTCTGTCTGATTGCCCCAACCTCGCTTAAATAGACATTCCCCAGGTGACCCCCGCCTCTCATCCCCTGGGAATCACCTAGTTTCCATATGGTTAATCTCATACAATACATGTGAGAGTAGGGACGGTATGTGCAAGTACACATCTTTATAGCAATGAGAAACACACAGTGCTGCTGTTCTCGTTTACAGATATGTTCACATTATCTTTGAATAAAATATCCATATTGTATTTATTAGCTGTTGAATTTAAATATTATAAGATTTTTTTAGTCTGTATGCTTTAATTTTACATGTTAAAAAATGACTAACAGTTAGCTAGCAGTGTATGATTTTGAGTGGACTGCTGAGAAACAGAGCAGTGTATGTTATATGCAAATGAGAGGAAGAACATGGTGTCTCTGAGTCTGAGTATTTGACCCTCTGAGTAACTGATATAGGACTGTACATTCGAATTCATGCCAAACTTAGGTAATACAAACCTTCTCTCTCCTCCGATACCTGTATGTTGGAATGCAGCATTTCTTAGTCTTAAAGGAGTTCTGTTCTTATGGTGTTGTGTGAATTTTACATATGGTACTGTGTTGGAATAACTGATTGCTGCATACCAGCTGGAATTTATGCAGGAGCTGGGAAAGTATTTGAGAGCTTGGGGTCCAATTAAAAATCCACTGTAGTCAATAGGAGTCCTGCCATTGACTTTAATGGGATTTGGATCAGGTTCTTTGTTGTTTTTGGTTAAACTTTGTGCTTTTAGAATTATAAACTTTGAGAACTTGGAAAATATACATAAAGAGCATATATTTGATAAGGGTATGGAAAGAACAGTTCATCTGTCAACACGAGATGTTCTTCCTTAATCCTTCATGCTCTGACAGATGTTCTACCAAGATGTCCCTGTCAGCAGTCAAGATGTGTGTTTGATTACAGTATTTGGCTGTATTGACAAAACAGTAAACCAGTCTGACTGGCCAGTGCACACTTTTGCTACTTGTTTGAATTTGGATAGCCACACTAGCACTAACTCGTCGCAAAAATCCTTGTGAAGTATAAAGGGCTAATTCAGAATAAAGTCACAGCTCGGTTTAAAGTCCTTTAGAGTAAATTAATATTAGAACATTTGTATTTGTAAATACTTACGAAACGGGCTTTCACTCGTTTAGGCAGCTCTTCATCTAACGTGTAGATCTCTTCCCTCTTCATTGCTATCTGAGAACCATCTTCAAACTCAACCTAATTTGACACATGGGAATTTTAGAAAAATATAAACTCATTGTTTGCAATCCTCAGGCACTCTCCACAATAGACAGATTATCTACAGAGAGATCAAACATTTGAGTTAAATAGTTATCTATTGTTATTTATTTTTAGGAAGGAAAATAAAGAACCACCACCAAGAAACACCATGAAGAGTTAAGAGTTATAGCCATACTTCAGAAAATAATCACCAGTTAGGCTATGTCTACACCTGTGTGTTTCCCTGGGTACTTGTCCGTGCACTGCTAGTACATGTACCCCATGCCCCTGCTGAGTGTCCAGATACAGTGTGCTGAGCATGGGTATATGATGTGCATATATACCCCACGCCCACACTGCCCTTTTCAGTACATGACGATAGCGCTGCCATTTCAGCAGCAGTATCACAGAGTCCTTTGTGTCCAAGGAGACACTCGGAGAACTGCCTTGTTGTGTGTTGCTGGTACTGTATGCCGCATTTTGCGATGGCAGTTCTCAATTATGTCTCCTTTCTGCCTAACTGCATTGAAGAAATGGAGCAAGTCCATGATGATGTAGTTCTGCTCCTGCGACAAATGTTCATGTGGTCCAGTACTGGATACTGGATGGAATGGGTCCAGAAAAATTTGAGACACTGAAAATGGCTGACCAAGAGGGCATATGAAAATCCACTGAGGTTGCAAGGAAAAGATGTGTTGAATGCTGGCATTACCATGGTATGGCCATAGGTGGACTGTCGCTTCTGGTCCCGGAGAACCAGCATCGTGTGGTGGAACCACCTCATCTTGGAAAGCTGGAATGATGACCAGTGGCTGCAGAATTCATATTACGGAAGCAGACCTCCATGGAGTTGTGCAAGCAGCTTGCACCAATCCTCTAGCACCAGATCACTTGTTCTCAGAAACTCATAGCAGTACAGAAGCAGGTGGTTGTTGCCCATTGGAAGCTGGCAACATCTAACAACTATTGGTCAGTTACAACCCAGTTGGGGTTGGGAAGTCAACTGTCAGAGTGGTGGTTGTACAGGTTTGCCACAATACTAATACTGGAATCTACTCAGGCCTGGTTGCCATATCCAAAAGTCCCTTAAATTATAGCAGGATATCAGAAGATGGGGTTTCTGAATGGTGCAGGGGCCATCGACAGAACGCACATCCCAATACTTTGCCCACTGAAAGGGGTGAGTGAATATGTGAACCAAAAAGTTTTTACTATTCACTTGTTCTCCAAGACTCAGTGGACCACCGAAGTCAGTTCATGAGACTAATGTTGGACATATGGGGAAAGGTCCATGACGCCAGGGTGCTCAGAAGGTCAGGATTGTACAGCAGGGGGGAGGGAGGGCGAGGGGGGGGAGGGAAGAGAAGAGAAAGGATTTTATTCCTCAGAAATGCCATGGCTCTGCACAGAGTTTCTGTTCCCACAGTTATATTGGGGGACCCTGCATATGCACTCCTAACTTGGCTCATAAAGCTCTTTCCAACATCACTGACCCAAGAAAAAGGGAATTCATCTATAGCCTGAGTAGCTGCAGTGTGGTAGGGGAATGCCTTTGGGAATCTGACAGCTCATTGGCAATGCCTGCAAACACAACTGGATGCCAAGGTAGCCAACACAGTTTGCATGATCATGGCACGCTGTACCTTGCACCATGTATGTGAGGCTAAAAGAGAATATTCCCAGAGCTATTGGGCACAGGGCAGATCTGGTTTACAAAGCCTGTACGGGCAGCCAAATCCCACCCCCGTGCATACTGCTCATGGTTCCCAAGTGGCAAGGGAAATCTGTGATGCTATTTTCTCGTACATTGTGGAGTAGCGTAGAGCCAGAAAGCGACCTGGGAAAGTGCCGAGGGACACTATTTTGATGGTATGGTGCTGCTGAAAAAGCTCAATAGATCTTTGCTACATGATTGTCCAGCGACATACTTCAGTGAGTTTCGATCCCCTACAGCCGATGATAATGTCGTAACTGAAAGCAGACAACTGGGTGAGGGCACTCAAGGTTAACACCTTTGGCTGCGGTTTTGTGCTGTGAAGAATGTATAGGCATTGTAACGCCATCATTGAGCAATGCTGTTGTTGCATGTTAACAACTTGGTTTCAGGCTGCTTTATGGGGAGTCATTAAGGATTGTTAAAGTAATTTAAAAACAGTTCTGTAAGGTTTTGGGATGGGCTTCACACTTTCCTTCTTCACAGTGTTTTCTAACATCCTTGCTCACAGCACTAATCAGGTGCTATGCATGAGTACTTCTGTGCTGCAAGTGGTGACTATTTGGTGAGGCTGAGAGAAGAGGGGTTGTAAAAGCATGGTTCAGTGTCCGATATCTCTACTGTTAATTTACTTTTGTTTCCTTTGTCTGTATTGTCAATTAAGTCATTAACAAAGCCATAAAGACAGTTCAGTTAACTTCTTTTCTGTTTTTCATTCTGGTGCTTTGGACAGCAACAGTTACTTCACAGTTTAGTTCACTGTAATGAACCTTTTTTTTTTTTTTTTTTAAACACTAAGCAATTCATGACTGGGGGCTGAAGGTGATGTGCGAGGGACAGAATTCATTGCATTTCTTTGGCACGACACATTTACAGAAATCACAGTCGTGTGTTGTGAATCCTGCTGACCCATCCCTAATGTAGAAAAATATCACATTGATCATACTCAGAAAGCGAGCTGCACACTCAAGTGAAGTGAATGGTAACTTTTATTTACAAACGTACATCAAACAAAGGACTAAAACAGTTTGTAACAGAGACAAATTAACAAAAATAAAAATAGTACAATTCCCTGAAACTGGGCAAACATTAGTGTTTGTGGACATGTCTTCTTGCCCTTCCCCTCCCCGAGAAGAGAGGAAAAGACTGTGGAATATTGCATGGGTGGACAAACGGAGAGGTATCCTGAATGGAGCTTGGGGGGTAAACAAAGACTGGGCTATAGGGACTGGATTGGGCTTATTGTTCCCCACAAGCAGGCTTTGGGGGGGTTCCCCTGTGCAGAGTTTTGGGTGCTGACAGAGTATGTTGTGCCAGGTATCCAGCATGCTCCTCCCCGGCAGGGGTGGTGGTGGAGTTCACCGCCTCAGGAGCAGCCTGGACAACACCTGGAGGAGGAGGAGAAGCGGCAGGAGGAGGACGTGCTGCCTGTTCTGGAGGGAAGCAGCAGCCCAGTGGCGGACAGGCCCAAAAAGTATTCTGCCACCAGCTGTACTAGGGACTGAATGAGTGAATGGTCCCATTCCCTATGGGCATGCTCCCACTCCATGAACCGGTTCATGAATGCCTCCTCCTGCCTAAGAGCCCGATCCTCCCTTGCCCTAAGGAACTCTACTGCTCCTGACTTCTCCTGTCAATGACTACTGTGCTCCTCTTTCTCCAGGTCTCCCTCCAGGACTTCCTCTGAGGTCCCTGCTGCCTCCTCACCCTGCCCCTCATCGGTGTCCCATCATACAATGAAGCCGGTGGGTGAGGATAGAATCATGAGTCACTTCAGGCTTGATACTCGCAGCCTTGGAGAGCCCCCACTCCAGCTCATCGTAGTATGGGCATGTGTCACGTTCCTCTCCTACAGAGAACGCTGGAGTCCTTCACACTCTGGTACAGGAGCCTGAAGTGCTCCATGTGCTCCCAGCACAGGAATGGGGTCCAGTGAATGCCTGCCTCCTTCAGCCTCCGTAAATCTCCTGGTAGAGGCATATGATCCTGCCAGTATGCGTTAAGTTGTGGTCTGACCACATATTAATCAGCACGTGGGCATGCTTCAAAGACCAGGAGGCAGCTCTTGGAACATGATCTGTGATCACCAGTGCTGATCAATCCAGTTCACGGGACAACTGATCTTAAATGCTCAGCACAGGTTGCTATTACCTTTATACATTTGGGTAAGGGTCAGACGGCAAAAGGATCAATGCATTGTGGGATTAGCCTTGGAGGACTATCTTTACTCATGACCTGGTGCATGCCCTTGTCGGAGAAAAACTGAGTTCTCACTCTGTTGTTTGGGTGCAACAAGTCAGAAGCTTTATTAACTCTCACAGTGTGCAGAGGGAGAGAGCTAAGCAGGTCTCTCTCTCTGATACCTAATTACAGCAAGCATTTAAAAAGAAAAGAATTGACAAAAGGGAACTGCGAAGCCTGACTTTTGTTAAGAACCGTCATGCATTGCAGTTCCCTTTTGTCAATTCTTTTCTCTGCTTCCACACCCTTTACCCCCATCGACGCTGTACTGTAGAACGGGTACAGGGCCGTGGCACAATGGAGGCATGAATATGCTCACACTCCTCAGGCATGCCAGCTGTCTCACACTACTCTGTCCTTCCGGAACATGCGTCAGATAGGGTCAATAAGGGAGTCATGACACAACAACGTGCATCTCACCATGCATGGTCGCAAGCATAGACATAGCTTTAGATTAACATGCAAAAGGACTGCACTCCCAACATTGAAATTTGTGTATAAAAGTACAAATGTATTCGATTAGAAATGCTAAAGAATACCAACATATACAATATCACTTTATCACACATTAAGATGTCATTATGTTGTTTATGTTTGCTTCTAATTTCCCAAGAGGTTAAAATTAATTTCACCATGCTATGTTTCAAGGTTGTGGAAGACCACGTCAAAAGACAGGAGGTATGAGTGACACTAAGGGAAATGCCAGTTAACAGAATTATATTGAATCTGATGGAATTTCTTTAAAATGCTCTGTTCGGAAGATGAAAAGCTTTATCATGCTTAGGTTTAGATTTAATCCAACATGAACCCCTTTAGCAGAAAATGAGAAAGGAAATGTAGCTAGGTGCAAGGAATGCTAAAATACTCAGCCTTCAAACCACTTATGCTTTTTGAGACGCTTCCACTCTCCTCCCCCACCACCACCATCCATCCCTGGAATCCTTCACCTATAAGAGATGAATGTCTGCTACTATCTACAATTGTACTTTGAGTTCCTTCAGAAACTTTAATTTAAAACTAGTTTTCAGAAAACGTACACAGGGCCCAATCCTGCAAGCTCATATGGCTTCAATGGAACTACCCAAATAACAGCTATATGCAGGAGTCAGGGTTGGAGGATTAGGCATAAATTATGTGAAAATATACAGTGAAATACATATACTTCTCAAAGAACCTCGACAAGAGGCACAATTAGCACAACGCACGTACAAAAATATAGGGTTTGCTGGTTCAAATTAAAACGTTGCCCTGTAGGTTTCAAATCAAAACAATCAAACAAACTGAATGTGTCAGATTAATTGTGCACAGTTGAAAAGCTTTCAGGGACTGTCCTAGAGTACATACAGTAGCAACAGCCAAGATACAGAGCTGTGAACTATTAAAATCCTTAAGAGAAGTAATTTTAACTCCATCATAAAGGACCTGGGCCATATCCTGGTATGCCGCTGAACCGCACAAAGCCCAGGGTAGAGGATGGGGTGCAAAGATGTCTTACAGTGCATCTTTACACTCCCTGATCCTACTGCTAACATGTGCAGGACTGGTCTCCATGCATGTTAGAGCAGCTTGAAGGCTGCTTGAACTTAACCCATGTTGTAAATAGTGACAAGGAATCAAAAATATACCCAATGATCAGTATGGTGCTGGGGCACTGCTATCACTGCCCCCGCCCCTGCCCCCTTTGGCAATGCCTCTTTTTCCAAGCCACGACAGTAGCACAGAGGAGAGAGGTGAATGGTCTACATTCACTGTAGCCCACCAAAGAATCACCCTGATGTTGGGGTGAGCTTCCCTGGTTCTGTTAAATGGGCTTTAGGACCAGATTATATTGGTAGTGTGGCACTGAGCAGTCATATCACACAAGAGAATCTAAACCCCATATGTCCAGTTTGAGGTATGGAGGCTCTAGCCCAGTAGTTCTCAACCAGGGGTACACGCCACCCCTGGGGCTACACAGAGGTCTTCCATCAACTCATCTAGATATTTGCCTAGTTTTACAACAGGCTACATAAAAAGCTCTAGTGAAGTCAATGCAAACTAAAATTTCATACAGACAGTGACTTGTTTATATTGCTCTATATGCTATACACTGAAGTGTAAGTACAATATTTATATTCCAGCTGATTTATTTTATAATGATATGGTAAAAATGAGAAAGTAAGCAATTTTCCAGTAATAGTGTACTGTGATACTTCTGTATTTTTATGTCTGATTTTGTAAGCAAATAGTTTTGAAGTGAGGTGAAACTTGGGAGTGCGGAAGACAAATCAGATGCCTTAAAGGGGTCTGGAAAGGTTGAGAGCCACTGATCTAGCTGTTCAACTGCCATAAACATTAACTGGAGTTTCTTACTTAAACTCTAGCATGGTGCACTAGAAATTCACCCTGATGTTGCTAAGGACTAACACCAATAAGGGTTCCTCCAAGTCTTTCAGTGGTGTAATTATTTACACAGAATATCAGACTACTGCTAAATCCAAATTTTAACCAGGCTGCAGATGCTGAATTTCAAACTAGTCATTCTGTCAAGTATGGTATATTTTATTTTGTGTGCCCTGTAAATGCAGATATTCATCACAGAGAATAAGAGCTCCTACTACATATGGGCAACCAAAGATATATATTGTGCATTCAGACAGTGGGATAAAAATGAAAAACTGCACTTGTTCTCTCCATGTGGTTTTCTTGTATGAGGATATCATAAATTAATGGTGTAAATGAAATTGTCAGAAAGCATTTAACTGAATAATTTAGTCATCTACAGAAAGTTACAAATGGTTACTATGAAGGAACATACAAACAAAAATTGACCAAGATGCCAAACACTTAAGTGGCAGATTTGTAGAGAGGCACTTAAAAATACACACTTGATTTTGCATGCACAATTACAACTAGGATTCGTGCAGGATAACTGGGCTTGCATATATCCTGTGCGATACTGACACAGGTGTTTGTGCACATGGTCACGGTTACTGCATGCCCAGCTCTCATTGCTCCCTGTGCAAATTCCACATGAATGTGAGAGAATTTTCACACATGAATTCCTTTATCAGAGTAAAATAGATTTGTTGAAGTTTTATCTGACCATATAGCTTTGTTCCAACACACACACACACACACACCCGTTTCTAGTCTCTCCTTTTGTAGAGAGTTGTTGGTCTAGTTGTGTGTCTAAGAGGCACAACAGAGAACTCACATCACAACACAGGAAGAAGGGGGGCAAAGGTGGCTTTAAACCACATTTGCACCCTCCCAATCCTGGGCTGTTCTGTAGCCCTTAGCTTAACTTAGGGCTTGTCTACATTACTCGCTGGATCGATGGGCAGCGATCGATCCAACGGGGGTCGATTTATCGTGTCTAGTCTAGACGCGATAAATCGACCGCCGAGCGCTCTCCCGTCGACTCCGGTACTCCACCGGAGCACGAGGCACAGGCAGAGTCGACAGGGGAGCAGCAGCAGTCGACTCACCGCAGTGAAGACACTGCGGCGAGTAGATCTAAGTACATCTACTTCATATAGCTGAAGTTGCGTAACTTAGATCGATTCCCCCTCCCCCCCCCCAGTGTTGACCAGACCTTAGACAGCCCCAGGGGGAGGTGAGAGATGTTACGGCAGTATCCCCAGGCTGTTCTCTAGGCTGCAGCACTTCCCAGAATCTCTACAGTGCTATGTGCTGTGATCTGGCCTCCACACACCCCTCCTCACCTTGGTATGTCCTCTGTGCCGGGGCTTGCTAGGGGGTCCTTGAAAGGCAGCCTTTTGGCTGTTTCCATAGTTCCTGTGCCAGGGGAATTCTCCCACAGCTAGATATGGGGCACTGAGAGCCCCTTTACGCTGCTCCTGTCCTTTTACCCAATATAAAAAGTCCAAAGTGGGGCTGCGAGTTTCACCCGGACTCTAATTCTGACTGACTTACTATGAGGTCTTGAAAAGGTTACTTAACCTCTCTCTGCCTCAGTTTCTGCTCCTGTAAAAAAGATGATAATACGGCTCACCTTATTTACCTCACAGGGTTGTCATGAGCATAGTTTTTTGGTAAAACACTTTGAAGATGAATAGTGCTATAAAACAATAATCCTTGAAGTTTTATATAGAACTTATATTCAAAGCATATGCAGATATTAAATATAAGGGAGGCAGTAAGGTGTAGAGTTCAGTATAAGGGACCAGCCATCTGGAGACCTGAGTTTGATTCCCACGTCTGCCACAGACTTGCAACATGACATAGCAAGTCACTTATCCATGGATAAATTAGTGCACAGAGAGGGTATTATAGTACCTGTCCACTTTTGTAAAACAATTTGAGATTGGCAGATGGAAAGAGTTATATAAGTGAAAAGATTTTTTTATATATATACAAATGTATAGAAATACCAAATATGTATAGCTCTCTATCTAAATAACAAATAGTTATATTCGTATTCTTCCCGAAGTGTTGTTATTATTGTGGTTGTTTTATTGTCGTTTCTACCATGCACTTGGGTACTCAACGCTGCTGACTGATTTTTCTCAGAGACATGCACTTTAGAAAACAGACAATTATTCTGCCTCTGAAATCAGGACTGAGCTCTTTAGTCTTGTCCACAGTACTGAGTTCTCCTTTCTCTCTAAAGTTTATAACATGCCTTAATGGACATGTTAGTTAATATAAGATTGCCTCATTGAACAGCTGAAAATGTGTCTATTGAAACTATGTTTTTCATTGTCCTTTCTCTCATCCCTTTTTCTGAAACTTCGCTAGCTCATTAAAGTTAGGTGCCCAGTTATACCATTAATTAAATGACTACCAATGCTTAATAAAAGCAAACAAACAACATAATATACTGAAGTCTTGTTTTATAGGATGTGGTCCATTGAATAACCCTGAGTTCCTATAAAATGATACACTCTCTTCCTTTGGAATTTTAAAGTTACAGGATTGTACATAGCAATAATTAGCTACAGCAGCAGCAGCTCAGCCATTGTAAACAATTGGGGACAGCTCTATCCGAAAAGGTAAAGGCATTACTGTTTAAGAGTCAGTACTTAACTCATATCCCTGCCTTCCAGAACTTTAAAACTGTGGCCAGTCCAACTTTGATGTGGAATGAGTTATTTGTAATACACATGAAGACATTTGAAAGAAAATTCCTAATATGCACATAATAAAAAATATGGGCACTCACCTGATACATGTGAGCTACATTTGCTCCCAGATATTTTGCCCCGTACAGTTTTCCATCAGGCCACTTCACTTGGACCACCTCTCCCTCTGCAGGTGGACCCAGCTTCCGGCAGTCTCTGCTCTATTTACAAACAAGGGATTGTTTCTCAAATCAGTGATTAAGCAATTAAATTTTGAAATTACCAGTACACTGCTTCTTACAACTTGATAATTAGAGGGGGAGTTATCATGTGTGTTTCAAGCATTATAATCTTGCTAATGGGCCAACAAAACACACCGTTCGTCTTCGTGAGAAGGAACTAATGACCAAAGAAACACTCCTAACAGTTTGATGTCACAATGTCAAAGCAACATGTATGAATCAGATAGTTATCAGCAACGGTGCTACTTTTCCCCAATTTCATTTTTGTCACATAGTGAAGATGAGGTTTAACAAAGTGCAGCTACATATTTGCCAGAGGTTTATGGAGGTTGTTTTTTTACATACTTAAGCAATTTATATTTTGCTAACACCAATGCATTCCTGCTAGATGTTTACTGATTGCAATATACACATGACTGATCAAACTACAATGTTGAGAGCATCAGCAGGTTCCTTGCTTAGCTGGTATATATGCACAAAAAGAATTTAAAGGTTTACTACCACCTTTATATCACCTGAACTCTGGGCTTGGCTCCTGCTATAACATATGCTGGCTTTAAACCACTCACTCTCTGGGATGCTCTGCGAGCCCACTATAGCCAGAGAGCAGAGCACACCATTCCCACCCCCACCCACACGTCTACACTCGGAATTGTGTGAAGGACCAGAGAAGAGTCTTTATGTAAGCTCTATATTAGCTGAGGAGGCAATCTTCTGCAGGCACTTTTCCTCCGGGGCCATCTCAGCCAGCTATCCACCCACGTAAAGCAGTCCACAGGTTCAAATTATGACTCAAGTCACAAATGAAAGTGATTTAGTGGGAACATCCTAACCTGTACTGGCTCCCTGTCAGTCAGCAAATTGTTCGGCATTAATGGCAGACCTAGAACTGGAATAGCAGGGCTGTTGCAAAATAGCATTGAGGTACACTGACAATTGTTTGTAGTTGCACCTAGTTGTTAGTCTAGTTACTGCACTAATGCTTGCCATTTTGTGAGCAACAAATTCACACCAAATATTTTAAAAATATTAATTATTATTTCACAACACATCTCACACTTCATCGTGCATTTACATTTGAGAAGATATCAGACTGAGAGATGAAAATTAGCCTCTCGTAGCCAAGGGCCTAATCATAATGACCAATGACAGCAAAGTGAGAGCAAGGAGACTACAATAGCATTTACACAGATAATAACTCATTTGACTCTTACTTGAATGTTATCTTATCACTAGGGCTGCTGATTAATTCCAGTTAACTCACGTGATTAACTCAAACAAATTAACTGTGATTAAAAAAATTAATCGCGATTAATCACACTGTTAAACAATAGAATACTAATTGAAATGTATTAAATATTTTTGGATGTTTTTCTACATTTTCAAATATATTGATTTCTATTACAACACAGAATACAAAGTGTACAATGCTCACTTTATATTATTTCTTATTACAAATATTTGCACTGTAAAAATGATAAAAGATAGTATTTTTATTTCACCTCATACAAGTACTGTAGTGCAATCTCTTTATTGTGAAAGTGTAACTTACAAATGTAGATTTTTTTTTTGTTACATAACTGCACTCAAAAACAAAACAATGTAAAACTTTAGAACCTACAAGTCCTTTCAGTCCTACTTCTTGTTCAGGCAATTGCTAAGACAAACAAGTTTGTTTACATTTACGGGAGATACTGCTGACTGCTTCTTATTTACAATGTCACCTGAAAGTGAGAACAGGCGTTCGCATGGCACTTTTGTAGCTGGCAGTGCAAGGTATTTATGTGCCAGATATGCTAAACATTCATATGCCCCTTCATGCTTTGGCCACCATTCCAGAGGACATGCTTCCATGCTGATGATACTCGTTAAAAAAATAATGCATTAATTAAATTTGTGACTGAACTCCTTGGGGGAGACTTGTATGTCTCCTGTTCTGTTTTACCTGCATTTTGCCATATATTTCATGTTATAGCAGTCTTGGATGATGAACCAGCACGTTTGTTTTAAGAAAACTTTCACTGCAGATTTGACAAATGCAAAGAAGGTACCAGTGTGAGATTTCTAAGGATAGATACAGCACTTGACCCAAGGTTTAAGAATCTGAAGTGCCTTCCAAAATCTGAGAGGGACGAGGAGTGGAGAATGCTTTCAGATGTCTTAAAAGAGCAACACTCCGATGCGGAAACTCAGAACACGAACCACCAAAAAAGAAAATCAACCTTGTGCTGGTGGCATCTGACTCATATGATGAAAATGAACATGCATCAGTCTGCACTGCTTTAGATTGTTATCGAGCAGAACCCGTCATCAGCATGGATGCATGTCCTCTGGAATGGTGGTTGAAGCATGAAGGGACATATGAATCTTTAGCGCATCTGGCACATAAATATCTTGCGATTCCGGCTACAACAGTGCCATGCGAATGCCAGTTCTCACTTTCAGGTGACACTGTAAACAAGATGTGGGCAGCATTATGTCCTGCAAATTGTAACCAAACTTGTTTGTCTGAGCGATTGGCTGAAGTAGGACTTAGTGGACTTGTAGGTTCTAAAGTTTTACATTGTTTTATTTTTGAGTTCAGTTATTTTTTGTACATAATTCTACATTTGTAAGTTCAACTTTCATTATAAAGAGATTGCACTACAGTACTTGTACTAGGTGAATTGAAATATACTACACTATCTCTTTTGTTTTTTACAGTGCAAATATTTGTAATAAAATAAATATAAAGTGAGCACTGTACACTTTGTATTCTGTGTTGTAATTGAAATAAATATATATGAAAATGTAGAAACATCCAAACATATTTAAGTAAATGGTATTCTATTATTATTTAATCGCGCGATTAATCACGATTAATTTTTTAAATCGCTTGACAGCCCTACTTATCACCTATTATTTACATCCATGAGCTATAAACTTATTTTGTTGCTAGCCACATCTCCTAATCCCCAGACGTAGTCCACACGTTTGATTCAACCCATGAGCCCAAGGAAGTGCAAACTGCATCCCACTGAGCTTGCTGAGGTAGCCGTGCTTCGGTGGGCAGAGATACCCTCACAGGAGGACAGATGGCAGTACAGCCACTGCCATTCCTTAGGGGCTCTCTCAGGGTGACAGCATCACACAGCCTGGCTGGTGCAGTCTGATGAGATATGCTGAAATATGTGTGTTTTCTGATCCCAGTCCCTCACAGCTGGCTCCACCCACTTTCAGGGATTCTTAAACTCATTAATAGCATTAACCACACCTTAAAAGAAACACTCTCACAACCGCTTTTCCTCCCATTTATGATGGTGCTGAAAACACCAGGTAGCATGCTTTTATTTTCCCTCCCTTACCTTTATTTATTTAGAGTTATAACATAAAAAGAAAAACAAAGCCTGCCTGTGTATCTTGGACATAATTTTAAAACTACTATACAAAACCATCAGCTTGTCTAAAAAACAAATGATCTACTTGTGGTATCAAACCAAACAGTACCTCAATGTAATTACAAATACTAGCCTTCATGCTTTTCTTCCTCTCCACCTTCCAAAAGACAAACTTGCAGCCTATGATTGCATAACATTCCTGGGATAAGGCCCATAACTGCTCATATGGAAATTTAACAGAGGAAAGGATTTAATGTATCTCAGTTACTTGTAGTCCAATTTACCAGCTAAAACTAAGGAGAGCCAGCTCTATGATCAGCCAGCTGTCCAGAAATCATTAGCAAATGCTTTGAGGATTTCAATAGTCCAGGGAACAATTTCCAGGAACCGCTGTACTAGATATCCTGTATTCCATTCCACCATGGAGTTCTTTACTTCTGTCTATTCTATCACTGGTGCTTTTAATATAGTCTATTGTATTAACATACTGTATTATCTTACTATTGAAAAATTGATTCCCACATTTTCTTCAGGGGAAAGGTTACACACATTTCTTAGACAGACAAACTGGATACTGTTAATTTGAAACATCTAATCTGTCAGATGTATAATTAATAGCCAGGCACCAGAAAAACGGGATCCTTCTATCTCTCCCTGTACCAGATGTAATAATCTCCAGACTCAGTAATTTCTGGGTTTGAAGTGTAAATCACATGCATTTGCTCTAGAGTTTCATATATTCTGTGCAGTAAATGAAATTGTAACACAGCTCATCTTATGCCACATTAGTGGATCTAACCTGCTGGTACATAAAGCACCAATCAGCTGTGGAATATCTGAGTCCACCTGTTTATGGTGTTATGAAAATTCCTTTATTATCGTAAATCACAGAACTGCAAACATTTTCAAGCTTTTTTGTGTGGCTGTATTAAGGTGAATCTAACCTGTTTTAGGCAGCATTCAATTTTGGGTTCATTAACTACTTTTCCAATAAGAGAAAATAGCAAGTAATGCTTTAACCATAGATATCAGAAAAATATTTACTGAAATATCATATTTGCCTCTGAATACAGTGACTGACCATAGAATTGCTTGTTCAAATAGGCTTGTGAGCCTAACTCTATAATGAGAATGACAATATACTGGGCAGCAAGTCAGGGAACTTTAGTAAAATTTTCTGTAGTGCCCCTGAGTCTTAGTATCAAAGTGCTACACAGATACATTAAATCTGCGTGGCAAAATCCTAGTGGATTTCATGGAGTGTGAAGGACTCAGGAGTACTACACGTTCTATATGTTCTTCTGGTTGTTGTAAGTGGGTTTACTATATGAAAACATGGGGTTAATTCAGGAAGAGTTTGACTGCATGTAGGTACTAAAGAGAACCAAGGTTCATTGGCCAACATGCGTTTTCAAAATTCTTTTTCTCTTATGTTACATACTTTGTTCCTACTGTTGAAATGAAACAATAGTTTGGTTCAAGAAGTCTGTCTGGTCACTGTCTTTACCTCTGTTCTCTTTTCTGCCTGTTTGCAGTCAACCTCTTGTTGAATTAACCCCATTTTCATACAGTCAATCCATTTACAACAAAGAGATGAATGTA